TTATCCATCAAACAAATAATATCCATAAAGCAAATGTTCTACCCCATGAGTGCATAAGTTTAGTTCATTTCAAGAGAGTAAATAAGTTCAAAAATGTTGGTAACAAAAGATTCTTAGAACATTCATCTATAACAATTCAAAATTCATTTCAAGTAAGGTCTAGTTCTTCATCGTCTTCATCATCTATTTCTTGATCTACTCCACCTACAAAATAGGATAAATAAAGTTATTACTCTTCAAGAGAATCCGGTCTAAGAATACTCAAGCATTTAACTGTTTTCATTCTTCTTTTATTAATCCAACTTATTCATCTCAACAAACTGTACACAACATTATCATTCAGTTTCTCTGGCAAAGCCCTTCTCAAAAAACTATACACAACTATTAATACATATTCATGTGTCACGTACTGCTAAGTGCTAAGAGTCTAAGCATTAAGCAAAAGGCAGCAACACTAAATAATCAAATCTGCCAATTTCATGCCTAACAAACAAAGTCCTCTACAAAGGCATCCAATTCCCAACTGAAGTGTCACGACCCAAATTTCACTAAGGGTTGTGATGGCGCCGGACACCTCTGTCAGGCAAGCCAACTACAATTTACTAGCAATCTCTAATTTTTAAATTATTTTGAAATCATTTCCTTTAAACAAATAAATAATAAATAATAAACTCTACTGGATAAAAGAGGGGGTCTTTACAAAATTTAACTACTGAAAAATCTCGTGATCATCCCAGAACCCGGTGTCACAAGTACATGAGCAATTTCTAGGGAATGAGATAAAATACAGTAACTGTCCAGAATTCAAGTGGACAGAAATGAAAATACAGTAAAATACTCTGAAGGAGTTGGCTACGGACGTCTCGATAAATGCAACTCACCTAAGTCTCTGTATTAACCATGCTACTATGCCACTAAGCTACTAGCCACATATGAACCTATGCAACAAAAATGCACATCAAGTATAGTATGAGTACGAAAACAACGTGTACCCAATGAGTATCCCGTCTAATCTCGAAGAAGTAGAGATGAGAGGTCGACATCGACGCTTACAAGTGGTCCAACGATAATATAGTAAAAATGTGAGGAGATCATGAAAATTTATTAAAACAACAATTATAATTCATAAAGCGAGATAGCAGGTAAACAACTTCCCAAATAATAATTAATTTCCAAAGAATTTACTTTTCATTATCTATATCAATTTATCTCCGGCCAGGAAAGGCAAATGAGAACATTTATAAATCCCAAGCAACAATACAAGCATGCGCATATCATTCCGAGGTCGTACAGACCGATCCAACATAAATGTAAAATGTCCACTGCCAAGGGTCGAACGGCGCGAACCATAGATGCATCTATTACCCCGCTCGCGAATCATCCATGCGACGCGGTCAACATAAAATAAACAAATACCCTGCTCGCGAATCATACATGCGACGCAGGTACACAAAGAATCACATATTCAAACAGTTAATCAAGACTTCATTAGGGAACAACTATCCAAGGAAAATCCAAATACTCCTTTTTGTTTAAACGATTTAGGAAAAATGAAGTTTAATTCTTTTAGAAATTCATTTACCAATTCGATAGAATTTAAGAAAGTCAAACCGTCAATAGGATTACAATATTTCCAAGTACAACATGCTTTTGGGTCCTAGACTACCCTAACAATAGCATAATAGTAGCTATGCACGGACTCTCGTCACCTCGTGTATACGTAGCCCCCACAAATAGGAGCACATAACCAATTATTTCACCTATGGGGACAATTCCCTCTTACAAGGTTAGAAAGGAGACTCACCTCGCTCTGAAGATCCATAACCGGCATTTCACGCTCTTCCGAAGACTCGAATTGATGCACAATGCTCCAAAACTAGCCAATAATTATGCAAATCCATTAATATACGTTCAATTACTTATTGCAACCCGATTTATAACAAATCCTAACCCCGATCAAAAAGTTGACAAAATTGCCCTCGGGCACACGTGCCCGGATTCCTAAATTTTTCGAAGATAAACTTTACCCATAACCTCATGAACTTAAATATATAATTTACTCTCAATTTCATACCCAAAATCGTGGTCAAATTCCAAGAATATCGATTTTCTAGGTTTTCCCTCAAACCCAAGTTTCTACGAATTTCATGCTCAAATTCGTACATAATCAATGTATTTAACTCAAGATAAGTGGGGTTAGCTTACCTTATCATTGATGATGAAAACCCTCACTTGAAACCCTCCAAGAATCGCCCAAGCCAAGAAAATATGAGAGAAAAATGGCCAAATCCCGATTTTTAAAAGAACCATTCTACCTCCAGCACTTTCGCACCTGCGGTCCCTCGACCGCTTCTGTGGTTCCGCAGGTGCGGAACTTCAACCGCTTCTGTGGATATCTCACCAGGCCCTCCCTTCCGATTCTGTGACTCAACAACCGTAGGTGCGGTCCCGCTTCTGCGGCTACTCGACCGCATCTGCGGTCCCCTTCACTTTTGGCCCAAACCGCATCTACGACTCTTCTGGCCGCTTCTGCGGCGCCGCACCTGCGACCCAATGCTCGCAGGTGCGGTTATACCAGCAACCAGCAACTTCAGCCTTCCAAAAATTCCATTTTCGACCCGTTAACCACCCAAAATCCACCCGAGGCCCCCGGGACCCCAACTAATCATACCTACCGGTCCCAAAACACATTACGGACTTGCTCGAGGCCTCAAATCATATCAAACAATACTAAAACCACGAATCAACCTCCAATCCAATCTTTATGAACTTTAGAATTTCAAACTTCTATATTCGATGCCGAAACCTATCAAATCATATCTGATTGACCTCAAATTTTGCACACAAGTCATATTTGATATTACAGACATATTCCAACTTCCGGAATTAGAATCTGACCCCGATATCAAAAAGTCAACTCTCGGTCAAACTTTTTTAAAAAAACCTTAGAATTTCTATCTTTAGCCAAATGACTCCAAAATGACCTACGAACTTCCGAATTCACTTCCGATCGCGCTCCCAACTCTAGAATCACCATACGGAGCTACCCCCAGACTCGGAATACCAAACGGACATTGATAACACTAAAGTGCACTTCAACCCAAACTTATAAAATTTCTTCCAAAATGATAACTTCCACAATAGGCACCAAAACGTTCCCGGGTCTTCCAAAACCCGATCCGGACATACGCCCAAGTCCGAAATTATCATACGAACCTACTGGAACCTTCGAATCCTGATTTCGAATTTGTTTACTCTGAAATCTGTTCTTAGTCAATTCTTTCAACTTAGAGCTTCCAAAATAACAATTCTCTTTCCAAATCAACTCCGAACTACCCGAAATGAAATTCCGGCTATGCGCTCAAGTCATAATACCTGAAGTAATGCTGCTCATGGACTCAAACCGCTGAACGACGTGTTATAGCTCAAAATGACCAGTCGGGTCGTTACATGAAGCTTAGCACTGAGGGTAAAGCTTTCAGGGCTTCAACATAAGGTTTACTGCACTTTAGTAGATCTACAGGGATGAAACAAATGCAATCAGGTATATCCTCATCCGAATCCTCTGCCAAACAAAGTAAATAGATACAACATACTGCTTCTTTTATTATAGCTATGACATAATACTAGAAATTGTTGATGTCATCGTTGGACTCACAAATAGAGTTGTCTAGTATGAAGGAAACAAAACCTTAGAACCTAAGTCTTATTTTGCAGTAGTATTCGACAAAAGAAATGTAAGAACCTGTCATACAACCAAGAGAATTGTTTTTGCAGTTATCTGTCAAAATAAATTTGGTAAGGAAAACAAATGCTATACAATAAATTACTAAGTTACAAAATATTTGCTAAAAGTTAGAAATGAAGAAGATGCAATTAAAAGTGAAAAGCAGATAATTTAGCTAAAACGGTAACGTAATTGGCCTGTGAAGATAAACAGAAAAACTACAAAAGATAGAAAACTTAGAACGTACTTAAATTCCATTTTTAGTATCTTGCAAGATCAAACATATAAACATACAATTAAAGTATTAAATATTGTTCTGCAACCCCAACCCCATTATGATCTACCTGTAGGATTGAGGAGTGGTTTTTCAACCTATTTTTTCTTTCCAGGTCCCTTCTCCATTGTTGTTTAGTCAAATTAATCAACTAACCACAAAGACTAATAAAAGACCATGAAGGTTTTGTATAAAAAGAAAGGAAAATCAATCTATTAGTAATCTATTCCAATTTTAAATTCTCAAAGTTCAACTATCATAGAACCGCCAGTATTACTTAGGTATTATTACTATACATAGGAGCCGAGTTGGCACTTAAGAAATCATATACTCCTACTAACTGCTTGTTTGGATGATTGTTACCTGTTGTATTGTATCGTATTGTTACTTTAAATACGATGTTTGTTTTGGTTGCTACTTAAATTTTATTGTATCGTATCGTTAAATTCGTCGTTACGTAACGACGAAATATACCACTTTATGTAACGACCGATTTGGTGTGGTTGCATCATTATCTTATCTATTTCTCTCATCTCACCCTTCATTATTATTAAATAGTTTTATTTATCATTTACCCTACATTTTTATATAATAAATTTACCCCATATCATAATTTTCTTCATAGTATTGCAGGTTTATTCTTTATATTGCTGGTGCATGATATCATGAAACAACAGCAAATGATACAATCTATCCAAACATTGTATTCATAAAACGATACAGTATAATATAATACAATACGATACGATACATTATGAAATGATGTGTAACAACCATCCAAACAAGCTATAAATAGAAAAAAGGATATTACCATATCCACTCTGCCTTGCTACAATAAAAAAACCAATTTCTAATGCAGAGTATTGGGGATTAGAATCAAATTCAGAGATGATGAAATTGGTGGAAGTGGCCATTCATAAATTGAAAGAGAAGAGCGGTCTAAAAGTAGATTGTAGAGATTGGTGCCTTCCTTGAGTTCCTGAACGAGACTAATTACACTTAATGTGAATCTGGGCAGAGAAGTAAGCTCAGCAGACAATAACACAAAGGTAACTACACTACAAATGAAACCAATAATAGACTATAAAGAACAAGCACACAGAGAACGTGCAAACAGAACACCTAAACACTTCAGCAGTGGCAAACAGATTAATCAAAGCCTAGGAGAGTAACATCGTCCCAAACCATCTTTCTTCTCTTGGGACAATACAATATGTATTCCAACCAAAGTATGTGGTATTAATCACAAAACCACAGAAAGTCAAAAAGCACAGGTATACACCAACAACTGCTAATAGTAAGTAGAAGTTGATACAAAATAGGTAACAGAACACATAACAAAATTTATCTATCGAATAGTAAAAACTTGCAATAGGTCACAACTTATAGTAGAAGGCAACAACTTTAAACATATTATGCCCACCCCTAGTTACAACAATAGTAAAACAGTAGAATTAGTTTATTCTTGAAAGGACTGAGACATTCATGTTCGGTACTATTTTACCTCTGATTCTTTTGACTCATGCACCAAAAAACAATTATGTTACAACAAGACAAGAGATTCTGGATGTAATTACCTTGTGAGAATCGGAGTTCCAATATTTAAGGATATCCTTAAAGTGAGATTCCGAAATATCTACTGGACTATTCTCCATTCGAAGCTCATCATTCGCATAGATTGTGAAGTGAGTTATCTTCAATTGATTCTTATACTTTCTCCAAGCACTGCAAACTGATTCAAAAACCCATTGTTTCACCTCATCAGAATGTCATATTTTTCCGACAAATTTAGTGCAATTGGGTTAGTGCAAGAAATAAGAAATATCATCCATGTTTATTGGACATTGAAAACTTCATACCTTGATATATTTCCACATATCATCTTTTGTGTCAAGTTTCCTCCAATTAAATACATTAAAAGGACAAAAAGTCCCACTCCTTGCCAATGTGCCGAGGAAGCTACCCAACCCTTTTACAACCTCTTTAGTAGGACCAACGGGTTGATTATACTCATTTAGAATGATTATTTTGCGCTCCTTTCTACCACGAGCCCTTGGCATTTGAGTACAGCCTCTTTTTCTTTTTGGTGAGGAGGGGCCTGCAATAGTACAAAACAAAGATAATCATTAATCACTATTTTTAGTTAAGTTTATGATTAAAATTTATATATATATGCCTTGTTCCTCAAATTGTTCAACTGCTTCATGAGTGGTAGAATCATCAGATCGTTCATGTACTCCCTGTGATGCAGGAGTGATAGAATCCATATTCCCTTGTTGCACTTGTTCATGTACTCCTTGTGTTGTTGAAGAGGTGCAATTCCGTGGCACTTGCTGCACTTGTTCTTGCAATTGAGATCCACCTTCGGATTATCGTTCTTCATTTGCATTTGACCTTAGAGCTTTCAAGGCTGTTTTTGTTGTCAACGACAAAACCTTTTGGTTTTGCAAAGATAAGGTAATCCACCTTCTGATTGTCATTCTTCATTTGCATTTGACCTTGTAGATTGAAAGGTTCTTTTTGTTGTCAATGACGAAACCCTTTGATTTTGCAATAACATGCAATCATTAGGGCATGCATGTATTTTTTCATAATTAAGACACAAATCTTTTATCATGTTTCTAGTCTTGTTGAAAGATTCTGGTACCTGAGCAAATGGAAATGACTCTTTGATCAACTCTAACAAATCAGAGAAAGCCACATTACTCAATCCATGCAATGATTTAAGCAAGTACAATCGAATAGTGAAACTCAATTTACTAAAATTTTCACACCCCAGATATAACTCTTGTTTTACTTCCTCCAGCAATTTGAAAAACTTCTTTGCATCTTCATATAGTCTTTCCCCAGCTTCTTCTTCATCCCCTGCCTGACCCTCTATATTTCTAAATGTATCATGAAGTAGTCCATCAAGATCGTCACGCATGGTAGAACCTTCATCATCATTGCTTGAATGAGGTGTATTTCTCGAGGAAAATTCTTCCCCATGGAAAACCCATTTGGTATAACCATCAACAAATCCATGAACAACCAAATGATCCTCCACCACATTTCTATAATACCAATAGAGATTCATGCACTTTTTGTAAGGGCATAATATTTCATCTCCTTGGGCCGCTCATTCAAATGCCTTATCAAGAAAATCATTCACTCCATGGATATACTCATCCGTCCATCTCAGGAGATTCATCCAACTTTTATCACCATTATCCATAGATATCCTATACGATAAAAGTAAATCAACAATAAACCAAAAGCATACTAATTTGACATTGACCACTGCTTTTAAGGGTGGAACATTCCAGAAAGTTACACACAGTAAAGCAATTTTGGCATGTAAGGTATAATTACTTTTATGTAATGTAACATAATAAGAAAAAGTCATTCTCCAAATTATTGACATGGGTACAATTAAAAAGAATTTAATTAAAATTTCTACCCCCTATTAGATTTAAGAAAGCAAACAAAACAAAAAAAGAAGTCCAGCTGAACTAATGAGAAAATGTATAAGTACAACATATATTGATGTTACTGCAACTTACAACATCCAATTGCTAGAGTTCATCTATTAATACTGTTTTTGGTACTCATGTTTCAAGCCCATTACCAATAGTATAAATTTGGGCTATTGTGGCCAAGCTTGGTAGAAGCCCTATTGATAGTCTTATTATAATTTGTATCACGCTGTTTAATGAACAAAAGAACTGATATATCAGACACTACTTATCAATTATCTAGCCACTTGTTCTTACCCTTTTACAATATGATAGTGGTCTAATGTACAAATTTATGTCATATGAAGTGGTAAAGCTATAAGCCTTAATCTGAAATTATAGCATCATATAGGTTTCGAAGAAGATTGTTATTTCAAACTTGAATTTTTTACAGTCTTAAAATCTCATTTCTATGATAAACTTCTATTTTAATATTGCAGAATCTTCCCAAGAAATTAAAAGTCAGTGATGCAATACTAAATTTGAATACTCATTGTGGTCTAGAAGGGCAAACTGAAACTCCACTAGCACATGATAGAGTCTTGTGATAAAAATATTCAGTTATTATCTATTAGGTGTGCATTCATTTTCATGTTTGCATTGACAATTCAATTGCCTAGATTTTGAATTTATACAGTATATTATAGAACAGGACAAATGGATGAAGAACTCTCCACAATAAGGAATAATGTGTAAAATTCATCAGTGGTATTTATCAGTGATTATCACAGGCAAACGTGGTATTATCAACAAAAAAGTAAATAACATTTACTGTAGAAAAGGTTTTCCAAACTACCATTACTCATGATACCACAGATCAACATGCGTTGTCCTTTATCCATACAATAGCCAACCAGATAAACTAAATGGCGATGATGCAGCCAAATTAGTAGTGAGACTTGTAATAAGAACAACCTAAATCATAAGATAATCTGGGTTTCGCTACATTTTAGAGTCCTATTTATTTATAAAATCCATGTCAAAAAACAATCAAAATTGGAAATCGTCTACATTCATGAGGTAGAGAAGATCAAATGCAGATTTGACCTGAAGTGAAATCATATACACAAAGGAAGATAATGCCCAAATTACAAAGGAGAAAAAAAGAAAAAAAAACGACTATAGAAGATAATGCCCAAATTACAAAGGAAAAATTACCTGAAGTTGATTTAATTTGAGGAAGGTGAGAATTTAGGTGAGAATGGAACAGGCCTCTTAAGGAAGGTGAGAATTCTGGTGATTCGGAACGTTAATTTGCTGCTAGTGAGTTTGAGGAAGGTGATTTGGGAACGATGAGAGCATTGGAAGTGTTGAAGCAACTTTAATTTAGTTATTATATATATCAAAATAAAATATATGAGAAATAAAAGAAAAAAGGGGTTATATTGGCGGGTTTAGCAAAATTCAGGGGAGAAAACGAGGAGGGAACAAAATACCTATTCCGATATTACAAATATTTCAGAACCGTTACTACTAATAGGCCTATTGGGACGGTTGACAAAATCGTTCCTATAAAAAAGACCTATGGTAACGGTGAACTGTCAACTGGAACGGTTTAGTATCTAAAGTGTGCTGGTTTCATCCAAATTCTATTGTAACGATTGTAACCGTTACCGTATCTAATCTATTGAAACGGTTTAGTAACCGTTGCCAGAAAAACTATTCCAGTAGGCCTATTTTCTAGTAGTGCTCAGAGCTAAGGGAAACAAATAGAAATCAGCAAAATACTTCAGTAAACAAATGAAACCCTAGATAAAATAACAGAGAAGAGGTTGAAATCAAACAATGAATAGTCAGTCAATTGAACCAGAAACATAATCATGCGACAAAGATTAAATAAAACATGAGGATCTCAGAAAACCCTTTGCAAAAACAGAAGAAGCAGAATAACCCTAATTTGAAAACACTTAGAGTTGATTGACAGTATAGAGGTCAAAGAACCCTTAAAGAAAACATCCATGGAAACTTGAAAGCACATCAAACATACAGGGATTCGAACAACAGAAATTAGATAAATCAAAAATCTAAAGTAGCGTAGTGCTAAAAATCAGTTAGTAGTAGAGAAGTAAAAGATCCTTAAAGAACAACCATGGGAATTTGAAAATACTTCAGATACATAGAGATTCGACCAACAAACAACAAGAAAATCAAATCCTAATATGACAAAGCGCTCAAAAATCGATTAATCAGTAAAGAAATAAGAGAACCTTAAGGAAACATCAATGACGAACTCAAAATCGCTTCAGATCTACAAGGATCTGGATAGATTCAAGTCCAACCATTAGGTTTTTAATAAAAGAGAAAGGGTAACGAGAATATGGTCTTTGAATCAGAGATTTGAGCAGTAAAACAACGATAGAAAGCACTCACAGACCATAGACAAACTCTTGGAGAGTTTTGAACAAGATCTGGAATAGGTCTCTTCGAGGTCCTTCCACGAAATCACAAAATCGAGCAACCAGGAGAAGTAGGAGACAAGTAAAAGTCTCATACAACCATGGAAATCCATAGATTGAATAGGAATGAAAGGGATTAAGGCTAGTTTTGGGTGGCGAAGAAAAGGGTTAAGGTTGGATCTCAGAGAGACGGAGAGGATTAGGGATTCTAGGGCGGCTGTTTGGTAAGAATGGTTAGGGTTTAGGGGGTCGTTTGATCAAAAAAGGTAAGAACAAATAAAGGTTGTTGATCTCAGAGACAACGACCAGGATTAGGAGGGGCCCGGGTCAGGTTAGGTTTAATTGGGGTTGGATTTGATTGGTTTGGGCCTGGTCTTAGTGGGTTAGGTCCAAAAATTAGAGAAATTAAAAGGCTATTTGTTAAATACCAAAATAATTGATAAAAATATTTTATAAAATAATTATCAATAGGAAAAAATAATTTTCATGCATAGAAGTGCTTTAAAATAATTATTCGGTATTTTAAAAATATAATGGATCAATTTTGGTAAAATAATGCAGTGATGTATGCATGGGCTATAATTGCAAAATTATTGCAATTGTAACCAAAGGTGTAAAACTGGCCATTTGTGAAATAATTTTAACTTAATACGGCTATAAATAGCAAAATTAAATCAATAAAATATTATAGAGACATTTGTGATGCAATTTTGTAATCATTTATATAAATAAAATGCTAGAATAAATTAATTTATAAATATAAAAATTGTGGAAAAATATCAATTGATGCTAATGCATAGTTTTAAAAATATATATGTACTTTAAAATATTATAGGGAAAAATTGGGTATCAATACATGTAGCTACTTACTCTATACCTCTCAATAGTTTGAGTGTCTTTGCCCTAATTGACTTTCTCAAGCCCAATTGGGTGTTCAAATTGTGCAAGCAAAGTTGGCTCGAGTCGGGTATTACTATCTCTAGGTTTAACCCTTTAATTGGGGCTATCAATCTCTTGAATGCACCCCAATTTCTTGTTGGCCTGAATTTCCTAGACTTAAGCTCTCTTTCTCAAGAAGAGCCTAAGTCAAAACGGCACAAATTAGTGTTTGCAACCACCATTCAACATAAAAAGCACAAATCACGCCAAATATCAATCACCCATAAACTTCTAAGCCCTAAAATAGGAGACCCATTAAATACTCACATTAGGATTGAGCCACAACCCTAGCTAATGGGTTTAGCTACTCATAATTGAAGAAGAAATCATAGATTGAGATGAAATAGAAGTCATAAATTGTAATTATACGTTAAGAATCTAAGACTAATTGCTAAACAAGCTATAAAATTACTCAAAAAGGTAAAAACGGCGGGTTCACGTGCTCAGTTATACAAAATATGACCTAAAAATCTGAAAAAGAAGTATTTATATATAGCTAAATATTCCGGACAAAAATGCCCCTGACGGAGGTACCGCTGACAACGAAAAATGGACCGTTGCAGTGGTGAGGCTACCACGGTCGCATAAAATCAAGTGTGGACCGCGATCTTCAACTTTCAGCTCAACTTTAGACTCTCTGAATCTCTCCTCTGCTGACCGCGATAAAACGATCACTGCAGCGGTGAGGCTACCGCAGCCGCATAAAATCACCGTGAGTCGCGGTAACTTGCAGTCCCAAAAATGCAGCTCTCTGATCTTTTCCACCACAGCCCGCGAATTCAAGACTGCCTCAGCGGTGAGTCCTCTGCTTCCGCGCTTGATTTTTCGTTGTAGCGCTCAGTTGACTTAGCTTTGACTTGTGCAGGTTTCACTCCTTTTTAACTTTTTTTTTTTTTACTTTCTTGTCTCTTTTTGACCAAACACTGCAAACAAGCACAAGAAGTTAGCTTTAGGGAATACTTGTACACACTTTTAATCTAAAATTCAAGTAAAAAGGAGCATAAAATAGACTAGAATTCCTAGTTATCAGCTGCCTTACTTGTATTTAAAGGACATCAATTGCTTTAGCATGAACAACTTGTTGTTCCCTGTTTTTGAAGCATAAAGAGTCTCTAGCTTATCTCATAATGATCTCGCATGTGTCTCATTCACAATATAGTTGCGAACATTATCTTCGACCCACTGTCGTATATATCCACATACTTGTTGGTGCTAAAAATCTCAATCTCCATCAAATATACTCTTGGGTTTATGAACTGCAAAAACGGGTAGATGCATCTTCTTTACGAACAACACATCTTTCATCTTGCTTCTCCAAACATTATAACTCCGATTTAAATATACCATCTTGCTCATATTCACCTCCATTCAGTAACAACCCGGATAAATAACCAAAGTCTGATACCACTGTTATGTCGAGGAAGAGGCAAATTCGAAAATAAAGAAGATAAAGAATACCAAATTTTAACGTGGAAAACCTTTCAAATCGAAGGTAAAAACAACGGGATCACAAAGATCCAAAAATCTCAACTATAATAATAAGAGTGTTATAAAAGCTCTCCAAATTGACTACACAATAAGTGTCAAACACAGAGCAACAATAGCAATAAGAGCAACGACAAATCAATTGAAGAAAGAGGAGAATCCACAAAAACGAAGCTACTGTTCGAGGATCGGAATCAGATGCTACGAGCTTCTAAATCTGATCTCCACCGTTCAAATCAAAGATCACGATGTTACAAACATTCGGTCAAAGTAGCAGCCCAATCCAATGGTTACCGAATCAAAAAACGTTATTTGAAATTGGTTGGTCGGAATAAAAATCTGCAACAAAACAAATACTATTCTTCTCTCTTCTCTCTTGATGAAAGCTCTCTCAAAAACTAATCTTATGTGCTTAAGTCTTTCAAAGACTTGTATCAATGAGCATAAAATAATTCTCCAAGGTTGTCCTATTTATAGATAATGAGTGGTGCTTTCTCTTAAAGCCAAAACCAACTCTAAATAGGAATAAACACCAAATCCAATTCCGAATAGGAATGGAAACCAAAAGAGAATATGATTAGGCCATTGGGCCTTTGGCTGAACAATATGTGTACGTACCCAATGCTAGAATAGGTAAAGCAAACAAAAGACTAGCGTGTTCGACATAAGTCCGTTACTGAAAAAAATATATATAGGGGTATATTGTAATTATTTTTAAAAATAAAAATAATATTTAGAATTTTGAGTCAAGTATGAATTTGCCATTTCCCCCCTACAATACATATAATTATTTTTTAATTTATGTACTCAAGTAAGTTTTGTAATATATAGAAGTTTTAGATCAATAAAATTTTGTAGGGAAAATGCATAAGTACCCCCTGAACTACAATTGGATTTCCAAATATAAAGTATGTAGTTGAAAATCCGACTATAGTTCAGGAAGGGTACTTATGCATTTTCCTAATTTTGTGCATTAAATACTTTCTTATTTAAACTATATAGAAAATCCTAATTCGACTGGACAAACTAAACCTAAACATATTACTCGGCAAAATGGAAGTAAAAATTGATCAAAATTGAAGTAATAATTTATTCTTAATTATTTTTTATCCCTTCAAAGAGATTTATGTTAATTAAATTCTTAAAAGGGTTTATATAAGGTAATTTTTTTCTTAATTATAGATTTTTAAGTAGTCATAGAAATAAATACTATAATAATTAGACATATATTATCTCAATATCCTCAAATTTTACACTCTTTAACTCAACATCAAATTACAAAAACACTTTTAAAATTATACTTAACAATTGCAAGCCACGTATACATAGTTTAATAATATTTATATAGTTTTTAGAAATTATACTTATTGGTAATTAGTACAGACGCTTTAAAAATAGATTTATATTGGACAAAATTATAATTTAAATAATTTTTTTTTAATATTTAGGACTTTAATATCAATTAAAAATTGTACTTATTAAATTGTTAATATATAAG